GTTTATACATAATTTTCAGAAATTAGATTTGATGACTGTTTTGAAGATTCAGGAACTAATAATATATAATAGAAGAAATTATAAATAGTTATTTGTAGAAAAAGAATTGATATCAAAAGAAGGGTGCAAATAATTTGCTTTAGTATGAAAAAAGAAGAAGATAATTTGTAAAGTTACAAGACATTACACCAAGAAAAAATCAAAAATAAGAAAAGTCAATAAAGAATTTGGAAAGTTACAATATGATTCATGTATAATAATTTTAAAAGAATGGTAAAAGCTAAAAACAAAAATGAAAAGAAAAAAAACTTAAATTAGTAAGGGTACGGTGAGGATAGTTATGTCTTGAATAAATTAATTTTCTACATTTTTGCTTCTGCTTCTTGGAAGAAGCTAAAATTTTTTGTTTCTTCCCAAAAGTAGAAAAATTACTTCTGCTGCTGATCAAAAGTACTTCTCTGTATTAGCCAAACAGTTTAAATTTTTTAAAAAGTACTTTTTTGAAAAAAAAAATATTTTTGACCTCGGAGAAGCTTGGACAAACATGCTCTATATTTTAGTTACATCTACATATGCGCAAATACTTAATGCTTCTCGGAAACCTGAAAAAGAGAGAGAAATACGCCCATTTTAAAAAAATAAAAAAAAATAAATCCTTTTCCTTGTTTGATTCGAGGGGAGAAACTAAAAAGAGATATACATTTACGGTTCAATAAATATTTATGGTGAGATTACCCATCAATTCCTTAATTGATAAATATTAATTTCATAGGAAGTAATACAAATCGTAATAATTTTCTTAGGCGTACTTTAAAATATTTGAAAATTTGTGATATTAAGCGGTTGAATTTACTTCCAACATGATAATATATAGTAGTATTTTTTTTAAGGACAATTTCGAACTCACAATTATCTATTCAGATTTGCATATCTGGAATTTTCTTTTCTTTCTTTACTTTAGCATATTGTAGGTTCAATAAATAAATTGGAAATGTAGTACTACCATTTATTTCCGTCCAAACCGACCATAGGAAGATGATAAAAGTGGGAGAATCAAAGCTTCGTAATTAAGAAAGAGAAAGAGAGATTGCTTAAGGTACTTCATTGTTCCTTTTCCACCCGGTGTTCGGTATCCGTATTGAAGTTTAACTATATTCGGATTCGCACCACATAAGGTTCCATTTGGAAAAAACGCTCTCTACCAAGAATTTTTTCATACTCAGGGTTCGAACCCAAAACCTCTAATTAAGAAAAATATCCAAAACCTCTGATTAAGGAAAGATCAATCTCATCCACTGCACCACATTCTTTGGTGGTAGGTACTTCATTGTCCCACCACTAATATTTCGAAATTTAGAGCCTCACATTCTCATAAGAATCTCATTGGCTATGAGTTATGACATGCCATTTTAAGAGAAAAAATAATACTATTCCCTCCAATTCACAATAAGTGTCCAATTTGCTTTTTCATTTTGGTTCAAAATAAGTGTCCAGTTATGTAATCAAGAAAGAATTCAATTTGTTTTTACAAAATAACCCCTATGTATATATCCCTAAAAAAGTTTCTTACTCCTCACATTAAATGTTTAATTAGGGGTAGTTTAGTCATACTAGGTATTTTTGTATAGAATTTAATATTTTCTTAATGGACGTGCTAAAAGCAAATTGGTCACTTATTGTGAACTGAAAGGAGTAATAATTTCAGGTCTATTTTTAGACATAAGGTTCTATATTTCAGCTATTCATAATAAAAATACAAAATTCAGGGCTCAAAGAAAACCTGTCTAACAAATATGCTGTTTATTTTTTAAATTCTACAAAAATACGAAACTAAAGAGTGAAATTATTAAAAATTGTTATATACACTTCAAATATAGTTTTATATAGGGGTGTAAGTAGGTCGGGTTCGTTCGGGTTTTGCAATTACCAAATCAAACTAATTGTGTCAGGTTATTAAATCTAAAGATCAAATCAAACCAATAAAACTCGGTTTTTCAATTTTGATTTTTCTCAGGTTTTCGGGTTATTTGGGTTTTTTCGGATTTTTCCCAGTAAAATCTTCGTAGCACAAAAACATAAAATTTGTGATTAAAATATTTCTTTAATTCTAGTCAGATACAACTATATAAGGTATTTTCAAGAAAATAATACAAAATATGTGTCATGCATTATCCTAAAATATTCAACAATATAAAGACAATAAAATTATGTAATGTAAATATTGTTAATTAAAAAGTCATAATAAAAATAAACATAATCTAAAAGTACTAAGTCATGCTAAAATAGTAGACTAATAAGGAAGTATTAATTACATGACTAAACGCTAAAGAAAAAATAAAAATAAGTTATGCATTTTTATCTAAATCATTGCAAAACAAAAATAGATATTCAATACATTGTTTTAATTTTGGTTTGGGCTTTTGCTAGCATTATTTAAGTTACTAATATTAATCGCTATAAAACTTATTGGAATATTCAAAAGTTCTAAGTCCAACCTTAAAATAATAATGTCTTAAGAGATAAAATTATAAAAAAGTTTAAGAAATATTTATAAATTACATCACAATAAGTATATTTGTATATTAAATATATCTAAAATTTCTATATATGTAATGTCGGGTTGGTTTGATTTCGGTTTGACTTTCTTTAGTTAAAACCAAACCAAACCAAACCAATTATGGTCGGGTTTTTTTTCTAACACCAAATCATAGTTGGATTTTTTTCCCCGATTTGACTCGGATTATCGGGTTGATATGATTTGTCGGTTTTCTTTGTACATCCCTAAACTTTTATATACTTGTTACCCTCAAGCGAGATGTAATATACACCACAAATGCACTCATTGTTTTCTTCTTATATATTTTAATAACATTTGTATTTTTGGTACAAAAGGTAGTAGTTATAGACTTATAGTAGTACCCTTTAAATAGATAATTTCTCTCTAGATGTATTGCGCGCTTAGAAAATAAATAGTCGACAAAATTCTTCTGAAGAGTAGACATAATAACATTTAACATAATTGACTTGGTAATAGTAAGAGTAGCCCACAAGGGTAACCATTTAAATTTGTGCTATTTGTATATTATGGCCTTTTATAATTTTGAATTTAAGAAAATGATCTTTTTAGATCTTTTATGTGTAAAAGACAAATCTCTTACGCGTAAAAGTAAATCTCTCATGTGTAAAAAAAAAAGAAGAGGTAGAGTCATAAAACTAAAAACAACTTTGTAAAAAGCCAAAAAACCAATTGAACCGTAATGATTTTGGAAATAAATAAAACAAGAAGAAGAATATAGAGCCATTTATTTACCATTACAGGCAGCTAAACCTAATATATGCAGAGAAGTCACTTGGTGGCCTGAATCCAACTTCAGTGGGCTTTGTTTCTTAATTATTCTAGTCCATATTGTACAAAAGTATATGGAAATCTACACACTATAACCGGGTAAAAACTTACTCGCTCTGGGTGTTTACACTAAACCAATAGATATATGACATGTGTCTTGCATATGAACTTCAATCATTTAACCATGGTAAATTACGTGTATTCTCATCTAATTAAATTAATTAACCATAGTGAGTTAATATAGTTTGTTGTAAACACCTGATGTGAGTAAGTATTTACCCTATAACCGTCAAGAGAATAGAAGTTGGGGTGTTGTGGTATATTATACATGGAAAATTAGGAATTAGAAGTTGTTTAAGGGAATAACCGTACATAATCAGGCGGTGTTTTTCGCAGATAAAATAGGAAATTGTATAAAGAATTAGTATACTTGAGATGTCTAAACGGAGTGTAGGTAGGCTCGAGCTAAGATTCTGCTTGTGAGCGTAATGGTATAAGTTTGCCCGACTGTAATACCGACTGGTCAAATAGAGATGAAAGTAGGTCATAGTGATCCGTAGGAGTGGGCGTTCGGGCAATTCGGATTGGATAAGAAAATTTCGGTTTGGATTTTCGGTTATCGGATTGAATAAATGACAATCCAAATCAAATCTAGATAAATTTGGATTTGATCGGATTTTTTAAGTTTGGTTTCGAATTAATCAGTTTGGATATTATGAATTTTCGGTTTTGAGCGTATAAGTTGAGATGTTTCTACTTTTTACAAAATGAATATCCAAATGAAGTACTCATGTTAAATTGCTTAAAAAATTTCTCATTTTTGCCGCAATCATCCAAATAAAGTATTCAAGTAATGAAATTATTATTAAAAAACTACAACATTGACATTAATAGGGGCGATAGTAAAATCATATCTAAATAAAAAGTATTTTGATAATAACTTAGTAATTAATATTGAATATATGAGATAATATCTAATGAGTAAAATATTGAACTTATTACTATTCTCATATGGATAATGGACTAAATACAAAGTGCAAAAATTTCGAATTTTTAGATATCCAAAAATTCAAAATATCAAATCCAATATCCAAATATTTTAAAAATTAAATCCAAAATGCAAACTTAAAATTCAAAAAATTCGGATTTGCCCACATTATGCCCACCCCTAGATGGACCTGATGATTGTGCTCTTGTTTTGGAACGGTTCTTTGCTTAGTGACCTAAAGCTGACAAATTATTTCCAATTGAAAGAAAAGATCACCAACAATGGAGTGGAAAAGATGCAACTAACAGAAAGAAAAGGAAGAAATAAATGAGGAAGTGAAAATTAGGGTTTGGATTTTGGGCTTAAATTAGAGACTTCATTAAGGATATATTCGGAATTACACATACAATTACCGTTTATAACTATTTGGGATGGGTAGACAACGGGCGTCTCCGAAAGTGTATTACACGCGAGGTGAGTTGACTGGGTCAGATGTTTACTTAATCTATTTAATAGTCACTTGAAGTGTCAAAATAAAAAAGGACTCAATTAAGGTTTTCATTTGATTGTTAGTGACAACTTAAAGAGTCTATTTATGTATTTTGCCTTCCCGTTTCTATATTTCTTTTTAACATTCCAAAGGTCCTTGCCCCATGTTCCGTATGATACCATGATAATACGAACCTCTTTCATTATACTTATACAAGAGTATACAAGTACAAAAAATAAGGTATGTGCTAAGGAAGTTTGCACACACAAATCTAAAACTAATATAGTAACATTTGCAACTTCATTATTCATGACTAAGACATAACATCAAGACTTCCGATTTTATAGTTGTGGTTGTTGGCTTGTCAATATATAATAATGTTATTAAATGGCTAATTTCTCGAGTCGAGGTCTTTCGAAAATAGCCTTTCTACCTTTCAAGATAGGGGGTAAGTTCTGCACACATATTGACCTCCCAAAACCTTACTTTGTGGGACTATATTAAGTATGTTGTTGTTGTTGTTATTAAATGGCCAACTATAGTGGAATAGGGATAACTCGTAAAGGAATTGATCTTGCCAGTGTAAGGCCAAACTTTTCTTCCACATCAAAATGTTCTGGTGCAATATCCCCTTCAGCTTTCCAATCAAATGAATTCAACAATGAACCCAACATTACAGACAATGTCCTGGCTGCCAAAGGTAACCCCGGGCAAATTCTCCGACCAACACCAAAAGGAATGAGTTCAAAATCCTGGCCACGAACGTCTATTTTCGAACCCCAAAACCTCTCAGGCTTAAATACTAAAGGCTCTTCCCATATAGTTGGGTCGCGACCAATTGACCATAGGTGCACTATGACTTGAGAGTCTTTTGGAATAAAATAGCCACATGCCTCAACGTTTTGATCTACCTTGCGAATCAAAAGGGGAACTGTTGGATGTATTCGCAAGGTTTCTTTAACTATGCACTGCAAATAAGGGAGATGAATAACATCGGCTTCTTCTATTACCTTGCCTTTGCCAATAACTTCAGCAAGCTCGGCTTTAGCTTTGTCCATTATGTATGGTTTTCTCATGATCTCTACCATTGCCCATTCTAATGTATTGGAAGTTGTATCAGTTCCAGCAATGAAAAGGTCCTGCAATATATAAGGGATGCACAAATTAATAAATCATGGTGATATACTAGTCTAAATTGATTGTGCTATTGATTCTTTTCTTTATAATTTAGCTTTTATAAGGTAGTAAATATATAATAGATACTCCCATAATTCTGAGGCAGTAAATAATGTGTATCATTTTTTCAACATAAATAGAATAATTTGGCATATGACTATTAGTTCGTCCCCTATTATCCATATAAACTTTCTATGACGAATAAATTGCTGCAATTTGTCCAAAGAGGAAGGGGGAGAAATTAAAAAATAACCAGATTTACAAGTGATCATTCAAAAATAGCCACAGTTTCAAAAGTAATCGAAATTTAGTCACTTTTCATGTAAAGATAAATCTGAACGAAAACACCGTTCAAAATCCGGAAAATACTCCAGCATAATATACTGGAGTTCCAGTATAATATACCGATCCAGTATAATATGCTGGAAGTTCATACATAGGTGTTCCAATCATCAGTATATTATGTTGGAACTTTCCGCGTGTTGGAGTTCCAGCATAATATGTTGGAAGTTCATACACAAGTGTATCGATCTCCAGTATATTATACTGGACCGGTCTCTGTTGCAACAAAATAGTGGCTATTTTTCAATGACGTTGCAAACGCTGACTATTTTTGAATGATCAATCCGAAAACTGACTAGCCCGTGCTATTTTTACGTAAATTATGTCAGTAATATAGGCTAATAAAAGTCAATCACAAATATTACCCGACTTCCAGCTAATTGTCAAATAACACTAATTCTACTTAAATTCCAAGCTTGAAGCTGAAGAAATTTTTTCAAGCAAATATTCCAGTAAATCAAGTGTGCATAGAATACTTGACTTTTTCACGAAAAAAATCCCCCCTAAAGCTCAACTCTGCTAAGCTCTCTAGGTTAGCTTTCTTTCTCTTCTTGTTGGTCTGATTGATACGTAATCGATCCATACGTCCATTTCGTTTTAGCTCATGAAGTCAAGTTAATACGTCGGCTTTGACAGGAGAAATGAAAAAGAATCCCTATCTTTAAAAATATACTTGATTAGTTGACTTGTATAAAGAAGGAAGAAAAAAAAAGGAACCTAATGAAAGCATATATGGGGAATAAGGAACTTAATGAAGAAGTTGAAAACGTACCAAACATAACCGTTCTATGTGATTTCTGTCAATAGCCTGTGGATCTTCTTGGCTAATATTTAACAAAACATCAAGAACATCTGTGCTATTACTAGTTGACGATTTCCTCCTTTGCTCCAACCGTTCATCAATCAATCCCTCAATCTGCTCCAACAATATATTCAAATGCTTGCTTAAGCGTCGCCTTATTCCTTGCGGATCTATCCTTTTCAGCACGGGATAATAATCAGCCAAGTTGGGTTTACCAGATTCTTCCGATATTTTGCACACCAAATCCTTGAATTCTTTACCTAAATTTGCATAATGATCCACTACATCCTTGGAAAAAATTATACTTGAAAGTATATTCATAGAGGTCTCAAAAGCAACTTGGCCTATACTCACTGCGTCCCTTGTTTGGCTACACCGATGGCAATAAGCTATTAAATCTTGGATCTTTTGAGACCTGAGATTACAAGTTGCAAAATCAACATTTTTTCAGTAACCTGCCAAGTCATTCAGGTTTAAGCATATTGGATTATGATATGACTTTGCTAATAATTTGATTTAGTTAAACCCGAAACGATCTACTAAATCAACAACAACAACAATAACCCAGTAAAATTCTACTACTAGGGTCTGGGGAGGGTAGTGTGTACGCAGTCCTTACCCCTAACTCCAAAAGAGTGAAGAGGTTGTTTTCGAAAGACCCTCGACTCAAAAAAAAAACAAAAAGATAAAAAGAGACAATATTAGTATCACCACGGAAATCATAGGAAAAAATAGGAACATAAAATCAAGAAGAAAAATGCAAAACAAAACAGATAGCTAGTAGTCCTGCACTAAAAATGAAATAGTAAGACATAAAATTGTCAGAAGCTATCTTAGACAAAAATCCTACCAGACTAGTCTCACAAAGGTACGAAGTAAGGTAAGACTCGACTACTTCCTAACCTACAACCCTAATACTCGACCTCCACATCTCCCTATCAAGTGCTATGTCCTCGGAAATCTGAAGTCTCGTCATATCCTGCCTAATCACCTCTACCCAATACTTTTTAAGCCGCCCTCTATATCTTCTCGTGTCCTCCACAACCAGCCACTCAGACCTCCTTACCAAAGCATTTGGGCTTCTCCTCTGAACATGCCCGAACCATCTGAGCCTCGCTTCCCACGCCTTGTCATCAATGGAAGCCACGTGCATCTTCTCCTGAATATCATCGGTCCTAATCTTATCCATCCTAGTGTGCCCGTACATGCACCTCAACAACCTCATTTCTGCTACTTAGATCTACTAAATCATTGGGTCAAAACGGATCAAAATACGGTAACTCCACATATAAAAATGTAATCTAAACCCAAATACACAAATAAACCACTTTTCAAAATAAGAAATTTTGGAAGCTTGGGGGCTAGTCTATGAGATTGTTTTTTGATTTGATATATACCTGAGATGCTGATTTGCGTCAAGCTTGTTGCCGGAGAAGATATAAGTATTCATAATTTTCCGGAGGCTTCTCCACCGTGTATCAACAGGCAGCCATATAACAGAGAATTGATATTGATTAATGGCATGGATTGCATCTGGAATTGTTCTACTGCTAAAGGCCAAGTCTTGCTTTTGAATAATTTCTTTTGCCACGGCTGATGAAGATATTACCACCGTCGTTATTTGGCCTAATTTGAGGCTGATTATTGGGCCAAATTTGTCAGCTAGCTTCGCCAGGGACTGATGGGGTTGACCACCAAGAATGTTGTGAAGATTTCCGATCAATGGTAGGGGAATTGGACCTGGTGGAAGTTTTTTGTTACTTCTGTTGGTTACTAAAAGGCAAGAAATGCATTGAAACAAAGTCCAAGCAAGTAGTAATACACCCACAATGGCTAAGTAATTCATGGCTTACTTCTGTCTTCTTCGCCACAAAACAATTAGCTAGTGGTTAAATACTGTGTTATCCAATAAGTTGAAGGTGTCAATGTTTGACCGCAGAAACAAAAAAAAGTGACCTGGTTGGTTGTTATTCAAAGTTTCCGCTTGCTCCTTCTCATTTTGATAGGAGTAAGGTGCTTGCACCTCTCTCGCTATCTACTAAATGAGCCTTCACCGCTCGCCTGGTCCCTATATTTAAATAAAGTGAAGTCAAATCAATTAAGTGATTGAGCAACAATTATTGATTGACCAACCTATTAAAATATATTTTTAAGTGTATTTTTTGTCAAAAAGTATTTTTGGGAGAAACTTTTCAAAAACTTCTACTTAAAACTATTTTTTTTCCTTCAAAAAACTTGACCAAACACCTTGACTTTGAAGAAAAAAAAAAAAAAAAATCATTTTTGGCCAAGAAAAAAGCTCGGCCAAACAAGCTACTCCCTTCGTTCCAATTTATGTGAATATATTTGACTGAGTACGGAGTTTAAGAAAAAATGAAAGACTTTTGAAATCTGTGGTCCTAAACAATTTAAAAAAGGGCCTAGAGTATTTGTGTGGTTATAAAAACTTCTCATTAAGGATAAAATTGTAAGTTCAAGCTAAATTGTTACCAAATTTAAAAATGGGTTATTCTTTTTGAAACGGACTAAAGAGTAAATAAGTTCACATAAACTGGAACAGAGGGAATAATAGTTTGGACATTATGGGTTGAAGTTGATAAAGAGTATTTAGATGGGTAGCGGCTCCTCCCATCAGAATTTTCTCCGGTAAATGTTCGATATAGATTTGGGTAAGTAACATGTATTCTTGTTAATTTTGAAAGGATGAGATTTGTTTTTAAAATTATTTCTCTATACTTATTAACTAGTATTAAAACTCGCGCGATGCGCGGATGGTACTTTTGAAGCATTACCCACCAGCAACTTAAGTGTAATCCCCTTTTAAATCTTCACAATTGTATTAATCGTTAGTGTTCCAGGTAAAGAACAATCCTTCCTCATTTAAAGACACTGACATAATTATCAAGCTATCAATGACCTCATCGGGTATTTCATGGAAATAAACCTTGCAATTAAACACCGAAATAAGTTATACTATATATAAAATACTCATGTCAGCAGCAAAATGTCAGTAAGAAGGTTTGAGAACAAATCAAATAGCAGAACACCATCAAGAAAGAACTTTTCCAAGCCAGTATCAAAATGAGGGGCTTGTACAATAGCACATTGTGAATCCCAGCATAATGTTTTACTAAGCAGGGAAGTATTTGGGGCATCTTTATATAATGGGAAAAGTATATCACTACAAGTCTACAACCAATTTTCCCTAACTGAATCCTGATAATCTAACCAAGAGTATTAGACACAATTTTGCATTAACGCCACAACTACTGTGTGCCGGCACTTCATGTAAAAACAAATAATCATTACTTACAAAGTCTAAATATGCCCAATATGTTATAAACATATTATATTATGGATGTTCATTTAGTACTCCGTTGTAAATAAGTTTCCTGAAAAAACTTATCCATATGAGACTCCACCGTAAATATGTTTATCTATTTAAGTACTCTATTGGAAAT